TATATTTTACAACATTGTACTTAAGGGGATGCTAAACCGATTACCCAACTCAATCAAGGTCGATAGTACAGACTCTTTTAATTCCAAATTCGATAATAGTGGTGACATCTTTGATTTAGTTTTTACATTATATTATATAATATATATCATTCTGTCTTACTCAAACGCATACGTCTGTTCTTATCTAACATATGCCAGCACCATCTATCGCAAGACCGCGCAACTACTGCTACGCGGAATTTCGGCTCTGTTGACAGTCCCAGTCTTCGCAAAGCATCAGTATACACGTATTTTCTATTCGGTGGAAATATTGCTTTTCTAGACTTTCAATCTTAGTTCTACAAACTCAGTATCGTTCGTTTCAATAATGTGACCTCAGCCGCTTATTTTCAAGATATGGACTCTAAAACTCTTATATCAAGCAAATACATATCTGAGGTAACAGCTGTACGAGCCAAAAGTAAGTGAATTTTTAATTTTTTTTTCGATTTTCTCATAAAATCCAGTGCAGCTGAGGTCCTGTTGATGCGTACTATAATTTAAGTAATAATACTTTTGCAATCCGTACATCCAATACGGAGAAATCCCACCGAATAGGAATGTGGTAAAACAGGGAGCTTTAGCATCGCCTTAATTTATATATCGTCACGGCGTCAGTCACTTTATTATAACAAAAGAGAGAAAATCTTGTAAGGTAGAATCAATTATATAATTAACCTAGGCATACTAAAGTACACATATTGATTGTAACATTTTTTGGTATTTTTGTTATTCCAGATCATGACTTCTAATTCATCTGCTACATTGTGGAAATAAGTAGATAAGGAGATAAATCAATTGTTTGGAAAATATAATTCTTCGTGTATTCTTACATATCAACAAATATGTCAATATGTAAATAATTAATAAATTTATAATCCTATAAAAGTAATATTGTGCATCACTTTATTTTCCATTTTTCTAATATTTTTTTACGAAAAAAGGGAAGCACATACTTAGATCATATTGGATATTTATACTAAAAAAAATTTATGGTAAATATAAAATATCCAATTTAGGTGACACCTCACTGATTTCAATGTCTTTTAGACATTGTTGTAGGGGAGAGTGATTCCCCCCAACACAAATTAAGTGGGAGACGGCATTTTGATTTAGAAGATATACTAAATTAAAGTTTCTCACAATAAAGTCATAGCATACGAATTTCCACCTC